GTTTTCTGATGTATCCGAGATCCTATAAATTTAAGGAATTTTTGTAATTTGAAAAAGAATAGAATTATGATGTAATTAGCTTTTAACACTATGAGATTTATGTTAGTTTTACTTCTTTTAAAAAAAAATTGAAGCCCATAATTTCCTTTTGATTATTGACGATGATGGGCCAACTTACTCTCAAGCCCATGTTTTATATTAGAGGAACTTTCACATATAGCCACTCAAAAATAGCCTAATTACTCTCCATAGCTATAGTTTGATAATTACAATTCATAGCTACATGTTATAGGGAGGAGAGAGGCGAGCGAGATTGGGAGAGAGAAAGGAGAGCGGCGAGCGATTGAGGGCAAAGAGTGGAGAGAGGTGAATTGTATATGTATATAGGTTACATAATTGTATATTATACATATGTATTTGTATATATGGCGAGCGAGATTGGGAGAGGGAGGAGAGAGGCGAGCGAGATTGGGAGAGGGAGGAGAGAGGCGAGCGAGATTGGGAGAGGGAGGAGAGAGGCGAGCGAGATTGGGAGAGGGAGGAGAGAGGCGAGCGAGATTGGGAGAGGGAGGAGAGAGGCGAGCGAGATTGGGAGAGGGAGGAGAGAGGCGAGCGAGATTGGGAGAGGGAGGAGAGAGGCGAGCGAGATTGGGAGAGGGAGGAGAGAGGCGAGCGAGATTGGGAGAGGGAGGAGAGAGGCGAGCGAGATTGGGAGAGGGAGGAGAGAGGCGAGCGAGATTGGGAGAGGGAGGAGAGAGGCGAGCGAGATTGGGAGAGGGAGGAGAGAGGCGAGCGAGATTGGGAGAGGGAGGAGAGAGGCGAGCGAGATTGGGAGAGGGAGGAGAGAGGCGAGCGAGAGAGGGCAGAGAGTGGGAGAGAGGTGAATTGTATATGTATATCGGTTAGATAATTGTATATTATACATATGTATTTGTATATTCTGGCGAATTATACATATACAAATGTGGCTAATTATACAAACTCGAAGTCAGCCTACATAATTAATGTATAATGTTAGTCGCGAGTGGTAATTATAGCAAACTATAGCTATGATGAGTAATTAAGTAGTATAAGTTTGCTTAACCGCGTAATTTTCCCTTTATAATAAGATGGATCTTTTGAAATAGGACTGGCCCATTCTCAGTTTAAAGATAAAAGGAAATTACACCCAATGATCTTGGTGGGGATCAGGGACGTTGAGTCGATGGGGAGGAAATAAATATAATGAACTTGAATTGTTACGTACGAAATTTATTTTTTCTAATTTTGTTAGAGAAATCACTTTTCTCATTTTTAAAGAACTTATGCCGTTTCAAAAAATATTTTGACCAATCAAACATTTTCTTGAAAATATTTTCCTCCTTATCAACTACTCACCCTAAGTATTACAATATCTTAAAAGATCTTACAAGATAATTATTCCGATTTATCTACACTCCATAAATTGAAATAAAGGGAGTAACATATATTATGTGAAAAATATTTTTAAACTATTATAAATCAAAATAATTAACAACTTAAATATCTAAAAATCATATAAAAATCTGGTTACTTTCAAAACTTCATGTGTACCACATAAATTGGACAAAGAGAGTAACATATTATGTAAAAAAAAAAAATTTGGCCAACTCTCAAAATTTCATTTGTACGAGATAAATTGAAACAAATAGAGCAACAACTTAAAGCATATACAAATTTGATTGACTCCATATTTTATTTGTGTTACATAAATTAAAATAAAATTAATGATTTATATTGAACTCGTACTGGCACGGACGGTACTTGATCACACCCCAAAGAAAGAAAAAAATACGTAGAAGAAATTGAGAATGTTCTCGACGTGGCCGGCAACCATATGCCTTTTTCAAATACCAAGACAACGTTGAGAAATGGTAGCCCACCTAGCACTAAACAAGAAATATTAAATTAATATCACAATAAAAAGTAATTTATGTCATTTGACATTATAAAATACTGTAATTGATTACACACCATATGAGTATAAAAAAAAAAAAAAAAATTATAGTATGTCAGCCAACGTATCAAAGAGAAAATAAAGAAAGTAAATTATATATGGTCAACTAAACTAACACAGGTATCGTATTTGACCTCTTGAGTTATTAATAAGAAGTTTTGTGGAACTTTATTACCAAAAATCGAATATTCTTAAGTGATGTATTAATTTAATGATAAAAATTACATAAATTTTATCATTAAAATAAAAATCCTTTAAAATTAATAGGATCACGGATACATTAGAAACCTGCGAATATATAGTTCACGAATTGCAAATGATACATTATTTAATGGGAATGATATATATATACATATATATCTAAGAGGGGGTAGAGATATATTCAAGAGGAATGGATGTATTTAAGAGGGGGATACAAATGTATCCGAGATGGGAGGAATGTATCTGAGAGAGGATAGGGATGTATCCGAGAGGAGATTTTAGTAATTTTTTTAACTGATATTTTTTTAGAGATTATAATAAAATAAGAGGTATATTTAATTAATTTGTAATAAAGGGAAAATGATTCAGCATTAGCATTTCCATTTACTACTAGAGCAATACAAGACTGCAAGAGTGTATAATTAAAAAACTTAAAATATAAAGACAAGCATTATAATTTGAAGTTTTAATTAATTAATCTAATTCTTTTTACCACTTTTGGTATGCACTAAATTAAAGTATGCGGCAGTGTCGATTGTCCAATTTTGTGTGACAAATCTTGAGATGATTTATTTTAAGAGTGATTTATTAATAAAATAGTTGAAATAAAATAATTAGACGCATGATGTAATAATTCATGTAAATACTAAATCATTGTTTTACTTTCCATTCTTCTTTCTTCACTTTGTCTTGAGCTAGAAAACTATAAGGTCTCGTAGCCCATCGCAGGGGCGGAGCTATATGGTGGTGTCAGCAGGATATTCACTGGACACTCTTCGTCGAAAAATTACACTATATATAAATTTTATTTTATTTTATATTGATATATGTAATATTTTAAACATAAGGGTCCTGTTTGAATCCCTTATAATATGATAATAGTATATGATTAGTAAGAAATTCCGCGCAATAATCTATATATCCATCTTCAATCCTAACATGTGTTAGAAAAATTAATCAAAACGTCATAAGCTCTTCGTTTTCCAGTTTGTAAAATCAAAACAAAAAATTTCAAAATTTATTTTTAAGAATATTGGTTTTGATGAAACAAATTCCAACTTTATCAAGGTCAAAATATAGGTCATTCTCTAAAAGTCGTACTTGTTTTTAAGTGATCAGATGCTTTTGTTTGGATCCTTTCCCTTTATCCTGTTCCACCTTGTTAATTTTCTACCCCTTTTTTTCTACTTCATTAGTTTATTTAATTTGTAATGTTTATTTTTCATCCATAAATAAATCATATAAGTCGAATCTAGTTTTGATGAGATTGTTTTCGGTAGATCTTCGGTTTAAGTAATGTATATAAAAATCAAATATGAAAAAGAAATACAGTAGTAAAGAAGTCATGCTAAAGTAAAGAAGAAGAGAACAATAACAACAAAAATGCTACGGTAATCGAAGCAAAAAAAAAGCAATAAATAATAATGAAATCGAATAATGAGATAGTAAAAGAGTAATAAAAAAAATACTCATAAAGGACACTAGACAACGCTCGACTACCTATTAACCTTCTACCCTAATCCTCGACCTCCATCTCTGCTAGGGTCATGTTCCTGGATATGATGCAGAAGTATCATGTCCTATCTAATCACATGCCCCCAATACTTTTTTGGTTTACCTCTACCTCTCATCATACTCACCATAGTCAACCTCATCAGTGGAGCATCATCTTGCATCTCATGTCCGAACTATTTCAGTCTCACCTTTCTCATCTTATTCACCACATAATTTTTTTTTCTCACATTATCCTAAATAGGCGAACATATATGTTTCTAATATTATCTCTCCTAGTATGTCTATATATCTATCTCAATATTCTTATTTTCACTACTTTCATGATTTATTTATTTTAACGTGTAAATTCTTAATTAATCAACACTCCACCTATACAACATAGCTAACCTAGCCACTACTTTATTATAAATAATAATAGTAGGAGTTCTTATAATTTGCGCAACATTATTTAAACATTTAGCTGGATTGATTAAAGAGACAACTAATAGGGGATAGTATAATGAATGTACTTCACTATTTTTAGCAAATTGACATTTGGCACATTTTTGTAACAAGAGTTAAGCTGAGCTGGTATTAATAATTAATTAAATTTACACTAAATTAGTATATGACCGTTTCGAAACTGAACGTGCAAGTTTTTAATTGTTGAACTACAAGAGTTAGCTCATCAAATCCCTAGCCAAGTGTGGTAAAGAGTATTATAATAATAGGGATCACGGAAAAATTTAATAGAGTAACAAATATTTTTTTATTCTTAATCAAAAGTTGTATGTCAAACCTGAGGAATAAAATTGTATTTAACATAAAAAAATATTTCTTTGAAAGTGAAATTTTTGAATATGAGTTTTAATTAGTCGAGCTCAAAGTGAGTATATGATATTGAATGAAAAACATAATAGTAGTTGACTAGAAGTATTGTATTTTGCTGCAGGATATGTCACGCGGAGCATTAGAAGTAGCTAGAAGAAAGCCAACTTAATTATTTGATGACTCATCATGCAACTCCCTCCTAGAGAAACAGAATTTTTAAAATGCTAATTGGAAATTTATTTATTTATATAGAAAAAGGAACCATGAGTGTTTGGTACGAGGGAAATACTTTTCGAAAATAATTCTCTTAGAAAATTATTTTTTATTAAAAATACCTGTCACGTTTTTCTCTAGTTGCCATTCATAATGATTTTTTTCTTTTACTTTTTTGAAGCTTTTGAGTTGGTGATAGCTAATTCGTGTTTTTTCGAAAAAAGAGGACCATTGATTACTTTTCATAGCGTGGTAGCTAAACTCGAATAGATTACTTACTTTTTAGGAAGGGTGATAGAGGTCGTTGTAAGGACTGTAAGATTATTCCGAACGAGAATCTTACTATCCATCATAAGTTTTTGATGATGAACTTGAAGATTAAGCAACAGGGGAGGAAGAAGGCTTTATATGAGCGATCGAGGATTAAATAGGGTGGCTTGACCCCTGTCCTCTCTCGAGAGATGGGAGAGAAGTTGATGGCAATGGGGACCTAGAGAAGTAGTAAGAATGCAAATAATGCAACATGTGCGATAAGATAACTAGTTGCATTAGAAAAGTAGCTAGTTATGTGATAGGGATACACCTAGGGGTAATGTAGGTGGTCATCAAGGGGATTGGTGGTGGAATGAAGAAGTCCAACGAAAAGAAAAAGTAAAGAAGATTGTTTATGCAAAGTTGGTGGAGTGTAATAATGAGGAAGAGAAGCGCATGAATAAGGAAATTTATAAGGCGACGAAGGTGGAGGCTAAATTAGAGGTTACAACAACAAAGAAGGGAACTTTCAAATGCTTGTATATTGATCTAGGGGACAAAAAGGGGGAGATAAGAATTTGTATAAGTTCGCGAAGGCGAGAAAGAGGAACCCGACACCTGGATCAACTAAAGTACATCAATAATGAATAAAACAAGGTATTGGTAGAAGAGATCCTCATTAAGCAAATATGACAATCATACTTTCACAAACTCTTAAACGAATAAGGGGCTATAGACAATGTGTTGGATGATTTGGAGAACTCTAAGAGACATTAAAATTTTGGATATCGTAGATTTATTAGGGTTGAGGAGGTTAAGCGTGCTATTAGTAGAATGAACAGAGGAAGAACGACCAGACCAAATGAAATATCAAGTAGTTTTGAAAGAGCATATACATGATAGGTATAGAGCGATTAACAAAGGATTCGTGTGGTTTTGGATGATCCAACTACAAAAGAACCAAGAATGGAGGGCTCTCCCTCCCCTTCTGCCCAACTCTTTGATCTTTAGAACATTATTTTAAGAATTTATGAGCCATTGTCCTTCTCCAACCCTGATTGCCCAATTTGATAGTTTACAATAAATGTGATTCATTTATTAAGCATGGTTCTATGGTCGGTTTGTGACCCCCTAGATATCGAAGGCCTCTTTGGGTGATCTTGTAATTCCTACAGGGTGAAGATGATGGATTGGTCCATGAATTTTCATTCATTTTCTTTTGCCGCATTTCGCTCAAAGGGTTGATGAAATATAGTGTATCAAATTGTTCACAGATCTTCCAAACGTAGAGCGCGCGTTGTTTGATGTCATTTTTGAGATCGATGACCAAAATGTTTGAAGAATGAAGGTGGAGTATGATGTTTGTGTAATAAAGACACAACTTCCAATGCAAGTGTCTACAATCATATAATAGTAAAGTAACCTAACCAAGGGTTGGGGTCGAGTTTCAAGGGAGTGTGATTGAGAATTATTAGAAAAATATAATTAAGTTTTAATTAGTCATACCTAAAAACATTATCGAATATAAACATGTTAAATCTAAGGGGTGACGCAAGCGTCAATTATCAATGGGGGTTTGTGATAAGTAAGCAAAAACAGCAAAAATGCAAAGAGTACTAATCAAGGAGAGAGAATTCTTGGGATGTGATAGGAATACGGGTTAGACTAGACTATTGGATACATGCTTTTGATAGTAAATCCGATGAGTATTTGTGACTAGGCTAGACTATAGTGGGGGTAAATTCTCTCTCGAGCAACTTACCCTGAATCAAATGGGTTCCTCTCGGACACCCACTTGCCACATTTGAAGAACAACCTCCGCCTTAGCCCATTCACTCTCTCGAGCTGAGTGTGTGGGAGAAGGACTAGGGTTCACTCTCTCGAGCAGAACCTCATGTCGACCCATTCCCACCGGCCATCAATTTAGTAGTCTTAGTTTTACGACCTCTCTCTCGAGCAAGCCGAAAACACAAAGGTGAAATCGTATTTGCAACTACAATTTCATTAAGCTCCACCACAACTACTAAACGAAATCACATTTACACAACAATAAACCAATAACAAGCAAGACCCAACAGATAATCTAACCCATTATTCACAAAATCACACCCCAAGGAATTGAGGTTTTAGCTACACATGTAAAATAGATAGAAATTTATATCAATATGAGTTTGCATTCAAATGGGTATGAAAATTGAAGTAGCAAAACAAGCAAAGAGTGAAGAATCCACAAGACCCAAGTCCAAATTCTTGGAGTTGAAACCCTTTGAATCTTCAAGTTCTTCAAAAACCCCTCCAAACTTAGAACTCAAAATTCTATGTTAAAAATTATATATTAAAAATCTAATATTAAGCTACAACTCTCAACGAGTATTTATAGTTTTCAAAAATCTGTACTGCAGCGAATCATTTGACGTCGTTAATCGAGATTGCCGATCAACTCGGTGATCCGTCCTTTGGTAGGTTTCATCGTCGTCTTGCTCTATCCTTCAGCATCGTCATGTTTTGGATCATTGGGCGACATAGTACTGCTTCGCAAAACTGTTCGGTGATACGCGGACTTCTCTTTTTCACTACCAGATTGATCCTTTCTTTCAGGGCTCAGCACACTAGAACAAAAGGCGAGGATAAGACCTTTTGGCGACTCGCCGAATGGGTTCGGCGATTCTCAGATCTTCATTTCTTCGTTCTTTCAGCTGCCTTTGTTCCTTTTTTACTAAGTAGTGTCCATGCTTTCCCTCAAAACTCCAAATACCTGAAACTTAAGAGTTTTCATCAGATATTGAGATTAAATATGCATTTGAGGACACTAATTCTATCAAAATATTGCCCTAAATGAGTCCAATTTGTGGACTCATCAGAGTACAATGGTATATTATTGTACGAGAACACAAATGATATTCAAAACTATAATAATAATAAGGGTCGGTATCAAGTTATTACGCTATTCTATGATAGTTTGAGAGAGAATGATGAGGGTGAGAAGGGGTGTGTCTATTTTAAAGAATCAATTTCACAATGGAGCGATTGACTACAGAAGTCATCCATCTTGTGAGCAGATCAGTGAATAAGTATAAGGAAACAGATATGGACTTAAATATAAAGAAAGAAAGATGAACTTACGTATGATGTTAATTGACCTTTTAAAAACCTATGATAATGTCTCGAGGAAAGTCCTCTGGAGATGCCGGTAGGCTAGAGGTGTACCGTTGACCTACATTAGGGAATATGTATGATGGAACGTAGACTCAGTTAGAACGATGAGAGGAAAAATATTGAAGCACTTCCTAGTTGATATGAGATTGCATTAGGGATCAATTCTTAGCATGTTCCTATTTATCTTGGTGATGAATGAATTGATGCAATATTTTCAAGATGAGATGTCATGGTGTATATATTTGTAGATGATTTTGTATTGATCGAAGAGACACTCAATAGAGTTATGTTAGATTGGAGGTATGGAGACAAACTCTAGATTAATCTAATGGGTTCATATTGAGCAAGACTTAAATAAATATTTGGAGTGAAAATTTAGTGATATTGCAATGCATGAGGCAAGTGTGCAAATGAGGTTTGATGCACAGACAATCCTAAGAGAGATAGTTTTAAGTAGCTTGGGTTTGTCATCCATGAAAGAGGGGACATCAATGGGGATGTCACACATCGTATTGACATGGCTTGGATGAAGCGAAAACTTGCATTTGGAGTCTTGTGTAATAAAAAAATACCACATGAACTTAAAGGTAACTTTTATAAAGTGGTAGTGGACATACTAAAAGTGATAATATTAGGAACAAGCATATCATGGATAAAATGAGGAAAGCGAGACTATGATGATTTGAAATACGGAAGAGGAGTTAGTATTACAAACACTACAAAAAAAACACCTTTTAGCGGCAATAAATATACACATTAACAAAAAGTGTTAAAGTCTTTACTGGCATTAGTTAATTGTCATAGGATTCAATGTCGCTAAAGGCTTTAGGGACATATACAAAGAGTGTCAATTGCCGCTAAAAGTACATATTTAGTGGCAATTAAGCTATTGTCGTTAATTAATTGCCGCTAAAAATCATTTTTGAGGTAATGAAACTTTAATACTAACATGTATTGCTATGTTGAGTTTTGAGTTTACTCACAATTCAAGAGGCTCAACTCGTTATAACCTTTTAACATGTTTATGTCATCTTTTAGTTTTCATAATTCAAGAGGCTCATATCAATTGATGATTTTGCAATCCCATTCAACTATTTGAAGCTCAAGAAATGAAGTTAATTTTCGAGTCAGAACAAAAAGGGGTCAAATATAATTTAAATCTATCAACAAAACAAGCTTTCTTCAACAAACTTTATATCTTAAAGCCAAAAATGCCTCAAGATAAGGAACAACTACTAATGTGGAGCATGATCCAGAAATCCTTGTCATACAATATCTTTCAAAACTCTTTTTTTAAACATGATCTTATAAGATGAAATAAAGTAAAGAAAATAAGCATCTTTTTGTTTCTGCACCTTTTAACTTCTTCATATAAACTTATATATGAAGATTTAATTTTTGTGTCAAATCATAGCCTTAAGTGATTGATTTAATACATGGAATCCATGGGGGACACCAACAAATACAAGTGAGGAAAAGAAAAGAATTTATGCACTTCCTTCTCTCTTTTGTTTTCTACTTTTCTTTCTTTAGCGTTGCAAATGTACATTGTCACGCGCTCAAAGGTGTGACCTAGTAATTAAATAAACTAAGTACAAATCTTGTAGATTAGGGTTTAGTTCCTATCTAAGGCAAAACAAAAAATGAAGAAGGTGATTTCTTCCCATTTAGACCGAAGTCGTGGTAGATAGAATCACCTAACTATTACGTTGATAATATAACAAGTATCTGATGAAATAATTAATCAAGGTGAAAGAAATATGATCTGAACACCACTATAAAAAGAAGAAGATACCTTTGCTATCTTATTGTGCATTTTAATGTAAACACCATCCAAGAATTTGAACCGTATGATGTTTACAAATCTTGAAAAAATATTAATTTGCATGTGAAGTGAAGGATTGATGAAATCTTTTATCGAACATAAACGTCTCCTCCAATGTCAAATAATAAGAAAGAATATGAGAAACTTATAATTGGATACTTTTGTTTGGGAACTTGTTGAGCTAGAAATGGAGATACA